ATCTTAAAGATGAAGTTATACTTACGATTCAAATTCCATTTCTCAGGAAAAGGGCATATCCGCAGTCGGGATCAAATCTGAGGTCCTCACTCGAACGAACCGGCCCAACCAGCCCCGGTCCTGATCCTCGAGAATATGGCCTTAGTGGCTCGATGTGCAAGCTTGATTAATCCCCCTCGGTAAAGTCGAGGGCTATATAGGCGCATGAGATGGTCGATAGTAAATGGACATCCCTCGAATTTGCTCACGAAGAAACGTAGAAGAATTACAATCCTCCAAAACGAGGGGTGAATCTGCCGGAGAGTCACCTCGTACCTTTTACAAAAGGCTATGATGACTAGGTCTAAAGGACCCAGCATGAAAGGGTAAGTATAAACACTTAGAAACCCCTCCACGTAGGTGGCGATTGATTCCTCGAGGGTAGGGATCACAACAAGTTTATTTTCCCAGTGGCAGTCCTTTTTTACCTTATCAAGGACGCTGGCAGTAATGGTACATATATACCTCGAGACTGGCTCACACCGACCCTGTACCAAGGTGGTGTTCTCGATCTTGAAGTCGTCCTCGGTTGGGCACCACGAAGGAACAAACGACTGTAGAGGGGATTCTGGTGTTGGTTCTTCAGTAGCAGCAGGTGTGACATCTTCCGACGGCTTTGAGGAAGAAGGGTTTTCTAAAGGACTCACAAGGAAGGGAGTTCTTAAGCTTAAACCAGAAAACCAAAAAATGAAAATGATGAAATTTCTCTTAAAACACAGAAGCAAGAACGGGAATTGAAAAAGGTTCTTATGAAGGGATTGAAGGGTATTTATAGTGTTCCCAAACGGCAGTTCAAATCACGGTGGTGCAAATCCCGAGATGGTCGACCATTGACTGACACACATTTAATGCCTCGAAGACTAGACTAACGGGATATTTCCACTATTCTTATCACCTACGTCATGAATTCGTCATCATGATTTATCAAAGTGAGGGTCGAGGGTTCATATCATTTTTTATTGTTTACTCTCCAAAAAATGAGGGGACTATCTGTATACGGGTAAAACCGAGCTCGATGCTCGATCGAGCATCTGGAACAATAGACGAGGCTCGAATCATCTATTAGATATCAAAGTTACAGATGAAACCGAGCTCAATATCGAGGTTCGAAGTTCGACAAGACCATCATATTTGCCCTCAAGTTTTCCGAAGGAACCACCGATCCTACTTCTAACGGCATCGGAGAGAAGCTTCGCCAACTCATACAACAAGGATCCGTGATTTCGCCATTAACCAATCATTATGGCAGAAATCACGGGATTAAGTCAAAAAAGGGGCCAACAGTCTATAAAATCAAGGACTTATATTTTTGATAAAATAATGTCTTAAAAGGAAGATCTCCCCCAATATATAAGGGGGACTTGATAATTCATAGGGACACATTGTAACATATACTTATAAGCAATATATATTCTCCAAGCTCCTATTCTTTGATATTTTTTCTGTCAATAGAAGTGTATTCAACTCAAGTGTGGCTGGCATTCTCAGAATTGGAATCATCCAATTCATGTGGGCAGTTATTTTATTGTTATTTATTTTAATTGCAATCCAATTTATCGCTTTGTATCAAGTTAAACCACATGTCCTTATAACCACTAACAAATTCAATTGTTATCCGATTTTTAGGGTAAACAAATATACATACCGAGCGAGAAAAATAGGAATGTTTAAGTGAGCAGGCTTTAGCTTTCTATTTAATTTAGAGATAAAAGAACAACAATTATACTAAGACGGACAAAGATCTTATTACTTAATTGCATGCAAAGAGTTATAATAAAAAGGAAAGATTAATCAACTTATTTGTTCTGATAGATTATAATAATACGTAATTTACATTAGTGTACGTGTGTGTTACGTGTATATTGCTTTCCGTAAATGTATAATGTATAATAAGCTGGTTGCATGGAATGCATGCGGCGTAAAGCGGATCCCTGTCGTCAACCAATATAGTAATTACCTTTTCCATTTTCTAATATAGAAAAAGAATAAAATAAAACAATGTATTTGTATAAACACGCAAAAAGCTTTCACATTTGTCTGTGGCTCAACTGCCGATCTTATCTTAATGTCCCATTCCTCTTTAGAATTGTCTTTTCTGTGTTTGGTTTGGTTGGAATTAATCAAATTAAACCTAAGTTATGAAAAATTCAACTATACCTCAAAGGGTGATCAAATATTAATTCCAGACAAAAATTCCATCCTCGATTGTTCTGGGTCCCTCCTAACATACTCCTATTAATTCTTCTCCAATTTCTATTTTCAATTAATTTCTTTTCATTTTAGTATTTCTTTATCTTTTTGGGAATCTTTTTAAATTTGAACTATAAATAGTTTTCATAAATGGACCTCCCATATCATAGTACTATTGTTCCTTGATATTCTTTTTTCCTCTTTGCAGATGTTGGCAAATATTTAGGAGAAATATCAGCTTCTGTTGTCACAAGATCATAGTGATAAGCAATTAATTCTTCTTCGCCATCTTTAATCATCTTGTAAACTAAAAAAATTTATTCTTGGTATATAAGAGCACTCAATATTGCTCATAACTTGATTTGTACCGGCCACGTCCGTGACTTGCAATTGATTAAAATGTTTGAAAATTGTGGTGAAACGGGAGTACTTTGCTAAGTAATAATTCGACAAATAAATTGATATATTCCTCTCTGGATTTATTTTAATTGCTTTGCTTTAAATCTTTTACAAACAGATCAGCCGCCAAAAAGTTACTAATTCATATGTTAACACTCTAGAGTGGATCTGCAATTTTTTTTCACGAAGGGCCAGCATACCAGTAAAAGTCATATAAATCAGAGCGTAAAAAACTGCAAAGAGTTTAAGATTTTTAGTATTGAATTCATTGTACCATAAAATTATAGGCTCAAATCTAATATTTATCGAAATTTAAATAATTTTTTACATAAGTATTTATACTCTGTATCTAAAATTAGGAAGTAGACTATTGAAGTATGTCCCTTCATAAACATTACATCGAGTAACACAAAATCTAGTGAAATAATTCAGCCAACAGAAAAATCAATGAGCACCCTCACCGCTCTTTAACAAAATTAAAAAGAAAAATAAAAAAGACACCGCTCGACCATTAAGATAGAAATTATGAAGACGAAAAAAATAAAATAAATGTTGATGGAATTAGTGAAAAATAATTAAAACCTTAGTGACTATCAGCATGATATACAAATTTTCCCACTAATTATATTCCAGAAGGGTTTAAAATATGTTAGTAATATTATAGTTTGATTCATATGGGGTATGGACAAAATAATGACAACCGATGGAATAATTGCACAGGCGTGCATCAAAGTTTCCACAAATTTCGTCGAACTCATAATTGGGTCAAATAATGCTGTTTCATAATTAGTAATCTTCTTTTGTTTTTACCCTTAATTTTCAGATAGACCACCCATTCTAGCTTCAGATTATCTTACTCTTCTCGTCTTGTATGGCCTTTTATTACGGCTGATATGCAACTAGCTAGTTTGGATGAAGGAAATATAAAAAAAGCTTTGGAAATTATTAGTCATATTTGTCAAAATTCGCTTCGGAAAAGGGTCACATCTCAAAGGAGTATCGTGTACGCAGTGTACCCTGACGCAATGATTTGTGACTGATTTTACGGCTCAAATCTGATCTATAGATCAAACAGACTAGAGAGACAATTTTATCATTATTCTAACGTTCCCCTTCTTTTGTACTTGCCAATAAATTGTCTAAAATAAATAAAGAGGCGAATGAAAATGGGACGAAATTTAAGGAGCAGTATATCATATCAACGATAAAAAGGGGGAGCAAAAAGGACAACATCATGGTGTTTTTTCAACCCCACTTACTCAAAAATATGCATAAATGAGCGAGGAAGAATCTAGCAACGAAAAACCTCAAATGTTTAATATCAAACCTCTTTCACATTTACCAATATCTTAGATGTTTAACAAGCAAGAGCACTGTGCATTATGGAATTGAAGGATTGATTTTAAATAACTAAGCCCCAGCAAATATATGAATGCTAGAAAAATATAAAGACGATTCATGAAATTCAAGACAAGAAAGCTTGAAACGTGGCTTAGCTAGCCATTTTAATTTGTTCTAATACTGTCTTAATCCTAAGTCTATCATTGCTAAGATTTAGCGATCCGAGTAGTTTATGGTTAATGATGCTCTCTCTAGATAAGGTTAATGCTATAGGCTAATACCATGATATTAATTAGGTGTAATTATGACATCACTAGTAGGATTCCAATCATAGCGTGATTAGATAGATCACTTTATACATGTATCGTAAAGGAATCCCAAGAAAGAACTCGGAGTTTGGCATGTTACTAAAGCCAGTAAATTTGCTTATTTAGTAGTACTATACAACTGGGTTATTTTCTATGCATATGTTATATATACCTTCTTACTGGATTTTTCAATTATCCCAAGTAGATTCTTAGCTGATTATTCAAAATGATTTGAAGCTCACATAGATTTAGAGCTATTCCCAGAGAGTTGCTTTGTTTTACCAAAGACTTAATTTGTTTTTCACAAACGATATCAGATTAGGCCTATGGCTGAATACTTTAGATTTACAGACCAGACTGCCCAGGCTGTTTACATGAGCTTATTTCCTATTGTTGAGCGGTAAAACATGTATACATTTATTAAACAACAACAAGATAGTAAGAACACCGAAGCAAAAGAAACAACCGATAGTAAATACGAGATAATCACGTTCAATATCATAAGATAATCAGAGCAAAGCTAAAAATACAGTAATAACAAGTGAAAGAGTTTACTTCCCGGCATCACCAATGTAAATTTCTCTTTACACAGTAAACGTTCTGTCACCATCCTTGATAAGAGTAAGATTTTGTTGTTTCAAGAAAATATACCATCAATTTCAGTTCTTTTTTTCTCGGTTACTTTCAACACTGGTCGCCAACAAATTTTGAGACAACACGGTGCAAAAATAAACCCATAAGTATGCACCAACTGGTAAAGCTGGTTTAATAGTAACACCACATGAGCACTCAACTAGTAAATACCTCTGTACATCAGAAAAATGGGTCAATCACAGGTCCACAACCATTCTTACCGTGAAAATATTCACTTCACAAAATTCAGGTCCCTGAACATCTCAATAGTTCACAGGATGTGTTCAAAGGATAACAAAGATTTAACCCCCACAAAAACCAGAGACTTGACTGTATACAGAGATTCAGGTCTGATCACGGCAAATCCTTTTTCAACTACTCTACTTTTCACGATACATCCGTTCACAATAACGAAAACTTTCTGAACAGCCGTATTTGAACCATTGATCATACTCAGTATCGGGAAGTTGCCTCTCAGCTCAAGGTCCAGAGAAGTGATTGCTTCATTTCTTGCACCTGATGCAAGTTAGTTGTAATATAGGTGATTGCAGCATCACAAATCAGTGTTCCGCGAAAATGATGGTAGTGGCATGGCCTCCTGTGGACGAAGGATTACAAGCACACCAAACATCCCCAGCATAGGGAGTACGAGAAACCATTTCAATAGCTTATAATAATACATATGGAATGTTAGAGAGAAATCATCGGAGAAATATAACCCGTTCTTGTCAACCATCTCCAACAATACAGTCCCAGCAGTCCTCACACTAACAGTCGGAAGCACAATACGATGTTTTCCAGGACGGTCGAATATCTTATTTTGCTTGATAGTTCGTTCCCCTTGGTAATTACCAGGAACTAACAAGCTCACCTGTGCCACGATGAAGAATTAAGAAATAACTGATGAGAATTTAATAGTATGCGAGATAGACCAAGTACGTCAAAGCTTTTTACCGTGACATTATAAGGAGCTTGAGACCCAGATGGGTATGTGTATTTATCAACAATTTCTATTTCAACCCAGAAGCTCTTGCCTTCTTCATCACGGAAAGCTCTTGAAGATGGAGTTGCATAGATCCCCTCACGACCATTACGGTAAGCAGCATTGTTTCTCCCTTGGTTAGGAGATCTCCAAGCCTGGAGTGCATAACGTGTTAATAAGCAGAGAACACGAATACTTAAGCAAAAACAGACCGAATTTTTCACTTACTTTGAGGGGATGATGTGGTGCAGGCGTGGAGAAACAGAAGACATTACCATTCATGGTTGTTACAATAAGATCAAGGTCATCTCCGCCATCAACGTTGTCAGCCAAGACCATGCTGTATCTGCGACGAACAGAAAACATATTAGCTGCTCAAAGACAAGTTTCTGCTTAAAATTACAAAAAAAAAGAAAAGAAAAAAAGTATGGGTATGTCTTACGAAGTTTCACCAATATCTACAACATCAGCACATGATGTTGGTCCGTCTATGAGATACAAATAACCATCAAATGACGTCGTGACAATGGTAAGCCCTTTTTTCTTCTCCCCACGTTTGCTCAAATCAACTAGAAGAACTCGATTCATCACTCTACCATGAGTCCTATAAGGATATGGACGTACAAATGAACCATCCTTGCCACTCAGAACATATATATTCCCTGAAAGTGTTGGGACAATAACATCTGTATGACCATCTCCATCCACATCACCAATGGTAGGTCCATGAGGAACTAGGCTCTTGAGATGCTTTTCCCAAATTTCTGTGCCCTGTGCAGTCCAAGCAGCAACATTTCCATGTGAATCTGTGGTAACTAGTTCAATCTTGCCATCGTCATTGATATCAGCTGCAACTACTGCTCCTTGGATTTCAGCCATTTCGAGAGGAAACTTGTCCCTCACTTTGCCTGATGTAGAAGGTCTTTAGTCTCCAAATGGTACAACGATAAGAACAATAATATCAACCAGAACAAGCTAAAGATTTGAGAGGATGACACAACAAAAAGGAATTACGAGGATAACACTTCATAACCTGACTTGCCACGTAGCGTGGCACGTCTACGGCCTCTCCAAGAGGAGAGGTCAACAGAATGATGATTGCACAATTAATAAATATTTGGTGTATTTTTGACTGAGAAACCCCAAACCTTATTTGGTCTATCGACGACTATTAGTGACTCCAAATCTCATAGGCTTAATCGAATAGGAATATAGCAGGCAGTTACATTCTAAGATTACACAAAGCATTACAACTACCATGACAGGACATGCTATTAAACCAACATGTCTCTCAAGAGGGGCAGTAATTCCAGATCACATAGGAAAGAACCGTTATAATTTCATCTGAATTATTTAGTATTAAAACGAAATGGACAAAATAAAGGATACATAGGATTAGGGGTGTCAAATTTAGCCCAAGAAAGTATAACCCGCCCAACCGCCCAAACTTGGACGCTTTGGGTTGTGAATATGTTCATCAGCGGGCCTATGCCAAAATTATCGAAAAGCTTGGGCCATTTTTGGGCTGCATTTGTAGTCGAAATTGATCCATAAGAGCACTTATAAAAGCATAGAAAATAAATTTCTTGAGTTTGGCTTATTTGAAATAGACATGATATATAAGGAAAAACTTTTATTAGGTTGATTTCGTACTTAATTAAATTATAACATAACAAACAAATGAGAAAAGCTTTTGAGTTGGGCGAGTTGGTTATAACCCATTATTTAACCCAAATTAACCCGCTCATTTTGACCCAAGCAAACATTTGGGTTACCTATAGCCCAACCGATTTATTGCTTCAACCAATTTTAACCTGGCTGCATTTAGTCCAACCCCGCCTATTTGACACCCCTAGTGCCCTACATAGGATTCATGTAGCTGAAGCCAAATAATTTCAGGATTGAGGTATAGTTGATTGATTGATTGACCGACTTAAGCCAGACATCAGCAACACGATTAAAAGTTAAGCAACAAGGAAGAAAAGACCTCAACAGAGGATTACCGTTGTGATCCAACACATAAAACAAGCCATAAGAGGTCCCAACTAGAATGTCCAATTTTCCATCACCATCCAAATCAATCACGGTAGGAGAAGAGTATATATAGCCACGGAAGTTCCCATTGTCAGTACTTAGGTCCAGCTGTGCAGTCCATTTAACTTCCTTGGTTTCTAGATTAAAAACAACAATACCACCAGCGACATATTTTTCTATGTCAATGTCTCCAAGTTCCTTCAAACGCTCCTGATCGTTGTAGTACCTATAAATTTATGATCAATCATTTTTTTTTGTGGGTGCACAATTGACTTCCAAAAGTTTAATCAGCTGTCTAATACTAAAAGAGACCTTAAATGGAGGAAAGTAAAGGAGATCTACTTGATAAAGAAAAAAGGAGGAGATTTTAGTCATTTAAAAATATATATGCTCATACAGTAATGCACATCAAGAAGTTCAAAGCTAAGCTCCTATCAAAAAGATAGACCTCAGATAAATAGCATTTAATTAAAAGATCTTGACTCGAACAATTGCAACTCCTATATTTGTTTGGCAGTTGTGTTATGAGAACTGAAATGTATAATACAAGCTATCAATATAACCAAGCTGAAGTTTTAGCTCAACGCCACATACCCAAGTAAACATCCTTTTCTGGAAGGAGTTGTCATTATCCAATCAACAAGAAGCTCACTTCAACATTACACAATGCAGTCTAATTTCCAAATTTCCATTTAATAGCAGCAACAAATGTCCAAAAGGAAGGGGGGGGGGAAGTGATAATCTTTTTTCTTCTAAAAAATGAATATTAGTCAATATTATGGGTAGACAAATATAGATATAGACTATGTCTAGAGCATCATTAATTACTCGTTAGTATCCTCAAAGAAAAATATTTTGAAAGTTTTTTCCCCGAAGGGAGAGTCCTTTAGTAATGGTTTTTAACACTTAAGATTAACCTACGCACGCATGATTATGTTATAAATTTCACACAGATTTATTTCTCACTTNTCTGCAAGTCTTAAATAGCATATACCATATAAGGAAAATTCAATGACTTCAATATAGGAGTAAAGAAATCAGCCGAGATTTCGGTCAGAAACCGAGAAACAAGAAAACAATGTAAAACCAAAATAGCACCATAGTGAAAAAACTTACTCATGGTCAAAGAAGTAGGATACTGCAACAATCATCTCTGACACCCCATCACTGTCAATGTCAGCAATGACCTAATAGAAGCAACGACATAAACTAATATTTGTTACCTGACACTTAACGACAATGAAGTATCAAATAAGCTATTTTGTCCGAGAGACTTACAGGAGTACATAAAACATGAGCATCAATATGAACATAATTCTCCAATTTCTCGTGTTCTGCTTCCTCAAAATCTTCACCCATCCATTCTTCTTCATCATCATCAAGGTAATCATCATAGTCATAATCATAATCTTCAGGCAGCTCCTCATTATCTCGGAATAACTCAAAAGATGAATCAGCATCCGCTTCCAGACCTTCTTCATTTTCTACAGTTGCAGCTCTAACATCTTCGGATCTGGAACCACTTTCCTCCGATCTTCTCGAGACATCATCTTCAAGAAGCCTTCTCCCCTTACTTGTTCCATTCTCCAAATTGTTGAGTTTCTCATTATCAGAACTCAGGGTAATATTGCTCTTGTTATTCATTTTAACTTCTGCACCAGCTAGACTATCATTCTTCCCCTTTTGGTCCTCTAAATTAGATGAATTTGATGTGTTAGGTGAAACTTCTGATGGCAAAGATATTGAAGCATTAGATGTATCATGGTTGACTTCTGTTTGAATAGAATGCATTTCCGTGTTAACTTCTGATGCAGTAGACTTTGAATTGTTGCCTCCATGAGTAGATGCATTGTGACCTAAAAGAGTTCGAATTAAAGATATGATTTAAGATAAAATGCAATTGATGAAGGTCAATATGTAGCATTCCACTTCTAAAAGAAAGAGGTTATCCTGAGAGCATTACATCACCAAATAAGTAAAAACAAAAACAAATAAGAGCATCTCCCTTGATATATTGAGATAATTATTTAGGGAAAATAATTTCACTTTTCCCCCACTGGCAAGTCAAATCTATGTGAAAAAAGTTAAGAGCGGCAAGATAGGATTAAGTGCACCAATACTGAGTAAAATATAGGCAAAGGTATCAAATTACAACAGAAATATTTGAGTAAGACCCTAATTCAGTAATGTAAAATCAAGAATATATAGCAGCAATCTATTCTGGACCTGAGTACCAAAAGAGTGAACTTATAAAACATAAGAAAAATTTCCAACTCATGGCTCTGTAGATCTATAACACGTGTCACATCTCATTTAAAAAATTACCTATTCTGAGCTAGCTTGGTAGGATAACATAAACAAGCAGGAATTACTAAGAGGAAACAAAATTACTGTGAAAAGCAAATGTAAGAGGAAATACACACGGGCTATGGAGTCCTTGACAGCCTCCTGTATGAGTTGGTTATCACGGACGTCTGGATGAGAACGGTCTACTGGGTCCGGATTCAAACCCACATGCCAATCTTTTTTAACTCTCAGCCGAGGAATCTCCAATTTATCAGACATCAAGTATCCAGAGACCCTATGTAAATCTAACAAGGTCATGCTAATTGCAGAAAGATGCCTCAACTACAGGAGAACAGTTAGAAAATATGCTGTACCCATACCTGAAAAAGAGCACCTCACCATTGTAAGTGGCCAAACCTATCTCCCTCACCCCATCCTTGTCAATGTCGTATAGAAAAGGAGTGGAATGAACAGTTGATTGATGGAAAGCTGGCCATCCTGACAATGTGAAATTATAAAATTAGTAGAAATGACATACAGCTTAGATATAACCTGCTCAAACCTCATTATTATTCATATAGATCATCTCTTCATATTAAAACAAGTTTTGTTGTTTCATAGTCTATAAATTTAAATCTTAGTGTTCAACTTATATACCAGCACGATGTGAGGTCTTTTGTAGCCAATCAAATAAGTTTGCATTTATTCTTATAACTAGTTTTCCACAAATCATACCTGGAACTTTATCTCCATCAGAGCCTTCCAGAACTTCCAAGTAATGAACGAAAGAAGGAACTACCACCTCAAGCTTTCCATCACTGAATTAAAATTCAGAAACGTAACCAAAATGAACTAATCTAGGAAAAAGAGAACAATAAAATGATACTCCTCAACTAAACTGAGCAACTTCATGTTTATGTTGAATCTAATGCATAGCTAAGATTGTTGTTGCTTTTTCGCAGAGATTAAATAGTCATTTAACTTTTCGCAGCTACCCATTTTCATCAACAAACTTATGTTAGGACATATGTTACCTATTTTGTTAGTCATAAAGAAATAACTCCTTCCATGCCAGTCATATTTTTTTTCTCTTGCTATTGTTCTCTTGATAATATTTCGTCGAAGTACCATTACAGAAACAAGTAGTCTGCGACAGTAAACTACTCACAACATTCATCCTAAGCCACTCATCACGCACACGGGCAGTGTAAAAGCAAACACATTACCATTTACCAACCAGAAGAAAGAAGCTTTTATCACGTTACCTGTTAATATCAGCAATCAAAGGCGATGCATATACGCTAGAACTAACTTCTGTCTGCCATCTTAGCTCCAAATGCTGAGGGCATTGTGTATTCAACAATTCATCCTCATCTCTGCCAGCAACAAGCACCAAAAGCAATATTAAAATCTTTTCAGTTTTTATCCATAGTGTATCAGCCGTTGAAACTCAAAGAAATATGTTTCAATGGTATTTTCTTCCTCACATTTTATTTTTTATAACTATAGTATCCCGGAAGCTTGCGCGCACCTCGACTAATTCCACGAGGTACCAGCTACCTCTCACTAGCACATGTACCAGAAAACTCTAACCACCAAGGCTTGGACAGATGGCAATAAATCACCTAGTGTTTTTGCCTCCGTTGGAATTTGAACATGGAATTTCAACCCACTTGATTGACTATTAGGCTACATGCTTGGGTGCTTCTTTTTAAATAACCGTGGTGTATAAACTAGCTTGTGCGCACCTCTCCTCCGTCGTCCAATTTTATTAGGAAGTTTGACTAGACAAGGAGTTTAACATGCTAATTTAACTTATATATATACTCCCTCCATCTCAATCTCAATTTATATGGCGGTGTTTGATGCGTCACAAAGTTTAAAATATTTCTTCCGACTTAAAGTATCATAAATTAGTGGTAACAGAACAAAGTATTAAGATGTTCATGCAAAGTCAAAATCAATTAAACAGCTGGAAATGGAAATTTGAATGGAAACATACAAATTGGGGTAAGCAAGGGAATCATCAGTGGCTTCTCGTTCTCGAAATTTGTTCTTTTTCGTGTCCTCACTTTGCAGAAAACGGAAATTAGAAGACAGTAGCAGAAAACAGAGTACAAAAACCCTAGTTTTCATTGAGATCGTTTTATTTCACCGGTGAGGTTTAGTAATCTAAATAACATTTCATATTGCAGAACAAATGAGTCTGACGAAATTTGATACTGTACTGGAAGTCTTTGCTATTCCCTTAATTTTAAGCATATTTACTGTTTTTGGACACATTACGGTTAAGATAGCACCTTTTCCCGTCAACAAAAATATGGGATAATCACATTTTGTTTTTGCGCCGCCCTAAAAAAGTTAGCCAGCAAAGGTATATATTTTGTATATTAAGATAAATATACATATAACATATATAAATATACATATTTGTGCATGTAAGATATATAATCAGTGTATATATTTGAATATTTAGGCTAGCTCTCGTAATTATTTTTTATCGATAAGCCAACAATAAAAAAAATCCTATAATGACCCTTGTTTCTTCTTCTTTTTTTTCTTGATCCGGTATCAAGTATTTGTATTGTAGTTCGATTAAATTTGAATTCGCGTCAGAAAGTCCCACGTTGGGGGTAAAGCACAAGGAGTATTTACTAATCTATCCTAATCTTTTTTGGTAAATGACCCTTGTTTATGTTGTTTTTGGTTATCGTCTAATCAAATTCCAAAAATAACCTAGTTGCCGTTAATTACTGTTATGACTAGGAAAAGTGCAAATTCTGAATGTCTATGTGAATTCAATAGATGCATGAAACGTAAATATATTTTTCTCACTTAATCATGACTAATTAATATTTTTTTTACTTTATTAAATCACTTAACCACGTTAATTTGATATAATCACTACGAACTGGAATCTCTTTCAATGTCAATTTCTCTTATAGGTTAATGTGCAAGTATATTACTTACAAAAGAAGTAACCTCTCGAGTTTGTTTTCTAAATGGGGTCAGATTTTCTTTTTTAAGAAATTAGACACATGTTATGAATTATTTGCTTTCCCATATTGATAGTAATGAATCATTGGTATGTAGTCTTGACAGAGTAATTTGCAATTAATTTTGAAACACATGGAACTTGTTATTAGAGCCTTTAATATATGAATTATGATTAGTAATAAAATAAGAAAAAGAGTCTTCTTTAGAACGCTGGGATTCATATCTTTCGGATATCTTTCCAAAATCGTTCACGCATGATATATTTAAAAGAAATCAAAATTTATTTATTGCTTGCTAAAATAATGGAATATTGAAAAAAGGGGGGTAAATATGGCAAACAAGGTAGGGGCTCAAAATATGGGAACACATGTAAAACTAGTTTATAATGACAAAAAAGATACAGTGTTATCTTAAACAGCTCTTCTGTACTGTCAGTCGTCAGAGTAATATATTATTTGCTAAACAAGGCGTTTGCTTTAGAGTTAGTAAAAAATTGCTAAGTGACTGAACGCAAGATGAAGTATTGAAAAAAGTCAATGCAATTTAGCCTATTTGGCTTGATTATTCTCAAAAAAAAAAATGACACTCTATAACCGCCGTAAAAATAATAGTCGAAAAATATAAAAAATTTGTATATTTTTTTGTATATATAATATATACATTCTGTATATTATATACATAAATTATACAAATTTTATACACTTTTTCGGTTACCAAATGTAATTAGTGTGCAGTCTAAAAGTGATAATACTCCATTATTCTCGGGGGTGTACATGGGTCGGATTGGTTAGGATTTTTTAATTACCACACGAAACCAATTGTATCGGGTTATTAAGTCTAAATACCAAACCAAACCAATAATAAAAGTCAGTTTTTTAATCTCGATTTTTCTCGGGTTTTCGGGTTTTTTTTCAGGTTTTTTTCTTCATAAAGTCTTCATAGCACAAAACGTAAAATTTGTGCTCCAAATATTTCTTTAATCCTAGTAAGACAGAACTATATAAGGTGTTTTTCAATAAAATAACATAACTATGAGATGAGTCATGACATTGTACTAAAATATTCAACAATAAAGATAATAAAATCGCATAAAATAAATATTATTAATAGGCCATAATGAAAACAAACATAATTTAAAATTATGACTAATAAGTACTATTATTTACATGACTAACCACTAAAAGAAAAATAAGTTAGGTACATTTTATCTAAACCATGGATAGATATCCAATACTATTTTCATTCATAGTACAATTGAATTGGACTATAAAACTTATTGGAGTATCCAAAAATTATAAGCCCAAACTTGAAATAATACGTCAAAAGATAAAACTACGAAAAAACTTAAGAAATATTTATAAACTATACTACCATAAATATTTTTATGTATTAAATATATTTAAAACTTCTATACATATAATGTCGGGTTGGTTTGGTTTCGGTTTGACTTTTTTAAGTTAAAACCAAACCAAACCAAATATGGTCGATTTTTTTTTCCAACGTCAAACTAAATCAAACCAAACCATAATCGGATTTTTTTTTCTCGGTTTGACTCGGATTATCGAATTGGTGCGGTTTGTCGGTTTAATTTGTACACCCCTAATTATTTTGCTAGATTAAAAAACAAATTGACTATACAAATGAATCTTCTAACATGCTTTCTCTACCTTTCAATTAAAATAATATCCAAATTTTCTGCTTAGGATACCTATACATAAAAATCTAATAGAGTATAATTTTGCTGCTATGCTTGAATACTTTGAGAAATTTCCAGCACTTTAGTACTCAAATTCTTTTGGGTTTTAAGGACTTTCCCAGTGTGACAATTCCTTCATAGCAATTTTAATATTTTTGATCTCTTTCAGCATGCTGCTTATACAAAATCCCAGAGCATACAATGAAGCAATTGACTTTCCTTTTAGCTCCTTGTTTCCTTGGCTACTTAATATTCGGTCAATCACCTCTTTTGATCTCTCAAGAAAAAAACTTAATCCTCTTTCTCCTTTTTCATCATTCTGTTTAATCAAATTACTTGACTTGGGGTATGTTGGTAGTTTCCCCTCCTCAAGATCATTAAGTCTTTTCTCCTCTTGATCATCATCTGGGAACAACTTGATCAAACTGGGCTTATTGTCAAGAAAAGTTAGTGACAGAATTGAATTTTCCTTCAAATGCTCCAATTCATCATTTATACATTCTTGGAGTTCATTCCAATTATCAACACCGCTGTTTTGAAAATCTTGTGACATACTGTTGATATTGTAGACAATGAAGTAAAATAAATCGGCCATTTTTGATAAAGAGCCTTGGAGCTTCTTGTAGCAAGTTGCATTAAAAGGAAGAAACCAAAAATCAGGCTCCACTTCTGCATTATGAGAAATTTTTTGCAAATTCAGGATATGGGATTTTAATTTCCTCTGTTTTTCCATTAATCCCAGCAGTTCTGGCTGCTCTTTTTGCACTATTTGGTTCATGCAATCTTTGAGAATATCCATTGTGAAATGTAATTGATTCTTTGCAAGATTGGCCGCTCGTTTCGGATTGAATAAGAACTGTACCACAATGAAACAAGACAATCCAATAAAAGTTTCTGTTAGTCTTATGATGGCAAAGTCATTAGGAGGGCCATAGTTTTTTCGTCCTAAGATCATGACCGCTCCTAATAATGCTGAAATTCCACCTGATTGGCCATAAATCCGGCTATTTTTCAAAAAACTGCTGAAAATAATCCAAGGGAGAAGGGCTAAGAATTTTAAGTTGTCGATACTTTTGAAGACAGAGCAGCCGAGGACTCCATAGACTGATCCGAATACAATTCCTTGTGCCTGTGCGTTAGCAAGAGTAAATGTTGCTATTTTGCCTTGTACTAAGCTACTGGCTACTGTTAGACCTGCCCAAAAACCATTTTCTTTATCAAATAGTAGGCCTAGCCACATAGCTAGGCCTAAAGAAATAGAACATTTAATTGCAAACACCAATGTTTCTTTTCTTGGCCTTTTCATCCAAATGTTATGACACACTCTTCTTGAATGAACCTCTGCATTAGGTTTGGAATCTTTGGGAAGTGATTGGGATGAATTATTAAGCAGCATTTTTGCACAAGATAAGAAGAAAAATGCAGGGAGGCTTGTTTGAGTCGGAGATATGGTGTCATTATGGATCAAAGGGGATTCATAATTGGGAAAGTCTACTTTTGTTTCTTGATGAGTAGATTGGTCTGATTTTCGACCAATTTGCTCAGATATATGTTGTAACGCGCCCTTTAACTCTTCGGTCACCAGGCCAGTGGAAAATGAAGGACATGAAGATAGGGCGATTTCCATTCCTCTTATTGTTATTTCCATGTTTTTGAGTTCATTGTCTCTAGGAACTTCGGAACAACATTTGAAAAATAGCAGCCAAGGTGTTTCCCACATTAGACCTCCCTGCAAAAAGAAGCATAAAAATAATGAATAATAGGTAATTTTAAATGGTATTTTTATAGTACTTTTGAGGACAAATTGTCACTTTAATTGGAGATTGAATATGTAACCTAGTGATATATAGATATATATCAAAAGATACATATATTGGTCCAAGAAGTTCTGTTACCTTCAAAACTTTGGAGCTTTGGAGAAGCTTGGGTCCTGTTTGAGCAAGGACCTTGGCTTTGGACAATAGTTCAACTGCATTAAAATTGTATTGGGAAGTGATTGCCCTTGAATATACTTCCATTCTCTCTTTTGAGTTTTCAGCATATAATCGGTGTAGTTTTCTGACCTGATAATATAACAAAACAAAAAGGAAATAAGGCTAAAAGTTCATTCATTTCAACATTAAAATACGAAAAATTCACCGATGCTTAAAGACCAGTACTTCTTTACGGCTTCATCAGAAAATGTTAAACTGATTGAAACCTAAAGAACTCCAACAGATTGAGTTATTAAACTAATAAATCAATTACTGGCCTCTAGTCCTATACGATTTCTGAACTTCCTAATAGGAAGATTGTTGCATTATGCCGCACATATATACATGAATATGACATAAAAATAGCACGAATTCTTGTCATTGTACACAATAGCGTAAAGAACTTTTACTAATATCAGTGTATTTAAACTTATCGTAACAGGTAACATGCCTTATTTTCAAGGTTACTAATCTTACTTCTTATTCACAATATATCATCTGTAATTATCTCTCGTATGATTTAATAGAGCAAAATTTGTTTGACTGTCAGTCTATAAAAGTATAATAATGTATTGAAAACCAACCTCATAGTAAGCTAGCCTCGGATAGGGAAGCGATAAAGCAAGAAGAGAAGCAACGATTCCAAGGACTGTGCTCCATGCAACACGAAGAGGGTGGACAAAAGCACTTGTATTCAATCCACGAATAACACCATCAGCAAACACAAGCACTAGTTGCCCAAAAGCAATCTTTTTGCACCTAAAATGCGTACATTCTACGAGAGACACCAGTAACGAAGTTAGTGCTAATGCCAGGGCGGAAGCAACGGGTGATAGCCTATCGGACCCATTGGCCGCTATCCATACGCCAAGTATGGAAAGCGGAACGGTTTGAACTGTGGCGAGAATTGCATGCCATGAGCCACTCAATGTGTCACCTAACGTCGAGTCGCTAGTGATGAGAGTAGCTGTTACGTATGAGAATGCTGGAAATGCTGCTAATTTTCTTAACCAAGGTGGTCCATAAAGAGTGGAGCAGCCAATTATACTATACGCCAAAACGGTCCGAAGTGCAGAGTGCAGCCTCATCCGCCACATAATGCGGTTGTGCTCCGCACCGGACACGGTGGTCGCGGCCACTGCCACTGCCACTGCCATGTAATTGTTTCTTAGTGGATTGTTGAGGAAGAGAGGAGATGAAGTTAGTTAAGCAAGAAATGAATATGGAAGAGGGTATTTGTAGAAGCAGAAAACTAGGATGATCAAATATGGAAAGAGATAATTAAGAAAACGTGTTGAAATTGCAAGTACCAAGTCATGATATGTTACCCATTAATTATTAAAGAATTATACTCTCGTAACACATTCATAAAAAGATATTATAAGGGGTCCCATTGTACTACGTAAGCATTTGCACTAGATCTCATACAATCTAGGCTTTTACGAGCAAGGTTAATAGGTTTTCGTTATTCCGTATTTCTCGTTAAGTGAAGTACTCAAACTTGCTATTTCTCCCGAGAACACCAGGCATAATTACCTTTAGTTGGAAAGTTTGTTAGACCCTTTTGTAATATATCTTTGGTTAGGGAAGGAATTCCTTCAAATTTATAAATTATACTTCCTCTTTTTAAAAAGAATGAACTTATTAATATTTGATAGTCAAATAATATTTTCTTCGATCGTAATTTTGCAAATAGTTTTTAAATATTTTAAATTATTCACTAGTGTGACTTATTGTACTTTAAAATTATTTTTAAATATGTAAATTTTATTTCAAAAAACTTAAAGAATTTAACTTTGTCCAAATTCACACCGAAAAATACTCAATTTGACTTTCGTACTCACAAAAGTTCCAAACAAATTAAAACGGAGGGAGTATTAAAAATATTTTATTTGCGGTCCATAGTATATTTATGTTGATCCATTGACCTGGAAAAAAGTTAATTCATATATTTTCATTTTAGTCATTGATTCTTAAGGTTAATTATAAATTGCTTATATATTTTGGTGCAAACATCCGGTGCTAATGACTTAACAAGTATTTCTATTATGTACGATACAAGCCCTATTAGATCATTTTGAGGTGCTGCCTAGAAAAGAATTGTAGATGTAAAACGGAAAAGTCATGTGTGTGTGTTAGTAATTTAGGATAAATTAGGTTTACAAAGTCCTTTGCCTTTGCATTTGGCTCATTTCCTATTCGTTTCTGATGTATTCATATAAATTTACTTAAAGACTTAATTAATGGGAAGTTGTGAAATTAGTAAAACGCCGTATACATTTCTTTTGCTTTGAGTTTAGAATCTAGTTCAGATGTCATTCTCTTTTCTTCCTTTTTTCATTTATACTAGAACCATTGTATGCATTAAATATATTTACAAACGTGTTTCTCCAGTTTGATTTGTTACCCTTCAAGTGATGAAATAATCGCTAGATAAGGCTTAAAAAGTAAATAATGCTTGTAAAACATATAGGTTATTTGCTGATGATAATCAGCTGACTTTTTCGGGTTAAACTTCAACAAATTCATGAAATAACAGAGAGGTGCAGTAAACACGCTATAATTGACCAAAACATTTGCTTAATTTAAATTTTGATCTCGCATGCGAAAAATGAGTGTCTCTTAGTATCTTTTAATATTCCAAAATTCTAATTATTTCCAGACACACAAGAATTTTGAACGTGGTGAAGATATGAAGATCAAACATGCTGGATCGCAAGACGACAAGTTAGTTTTGTTAATCTATTATTATCTTAAATAATCAAGCCGCCTGTTGGATTTGTTTTAATACTAAATAAGCGTCCAACAACTTCGATGGAGACGTTATCAAAAAGAAAGGAATGGTAGCCAAATTATTGGTCAAGCATGTCCTCTCCCATGTTAGAGGAACTAATTAAAGGGCAAATTATGCTATATACCCATGAAAGATAAAATATTTATCCTTATCTACCTATGTTCATTTCTTTTACATTTTATACATATACCGCTATACCCATTCTTATCTTTGCCATTGTTTAGCATGAAAGTTCATGTTCTCAGATTCATATGCACCTTTGTTGTATCTTTTAAGTGCATCATATTTTTCCAATATGTTTTATCATCTTATCATAATAATACTAATTAAAAATAATATAATATAATATTTATTAAATAAGTATATAATATTATAAAAATATATGAACTTGGAGAGCACAAAAGAATATTGTTATTATTATTATTATTATTATTATTATTATTATTATTATTATTTTGAAAAGGTATGTTTATGGTCACACATTAAATAATATATTTAGAAAGTAAATTAGCTAACACTGAATTTTATTTCACCGTATGCCAAGAATTATTTTTTAAGAAACTCTGTTTTTCCCCAACTCTTCTTTTCTTTATTTTTCTGTCCATTGATTTAATTTATCTTTTCCCTTTTTTGTTTTTTTCTTCTTTTCAAAACAAAAATAAAAATGAATACAATATTTTATTATTTTTAGACTCATAAAATATAAAAATAAATAATTAGATTACAACAAGAAGTAATTAAAAAAAACTAAAAGAACTAACTTTTTTATTAAAACCTAATTAATAGAAAATATGTTCTTATAATTTTTTTTCTTCTTCTGTATATAAAAATAATTTAATATCTAAAATATGACTCAATATTTTTGTAATCTTTTCACAAGTAAAATTTGCTAAAGATGTTATAATAATTAAAATATTAAATTTATGTTTAAAGAATCAATTTGGTGGAGATTTTAGAGTAGATTTCTAAAATTTGGGTTGAATTAAGTAGAACTAGCAATGAAGAAAGATTTGTAATATATACCAAAATATTATATTGTATACAGTATTGGTATACAATAATTAATTCAAGAAAATAGAATTAATTACAACAGTATACTACTAATATTTTTGAAGGAATGAACCAATCCTCTATATACTAAAATAACATATTATATGCTATTTTGGTATATAATATTTAATTTAATAGTGTATAATTTATTGCGTTGAACTGGCGAAGAAGAATTTGTATTGTATACCACAATAATATATTATATACCATTTTGATATACAATTCATTTCAACGATATACTATTACAGTATACTATATAATGTAACAGTATACTTTTACAATTTGGGCCTTTTAGAATTTTTAAAAATTTTAATTGAGTTCTTTTTTAACTTTTCAACGGAGTTCTCATGTTTTTTTTTTCTTAAACCAAAATACTTAGTTTATGATATTTGTTTGTAGGTTTGTGGCTAAAATTTTAGTCAATTTGGTGGAGATTTTAGAGTAGATTATTAAATTTTGGGTTGAAATTGAGTTGAACTAGAAAAGAAGATAGATTTGTATTGTATACCAAAATATTATATTGTATACAATAATTAATTACAATAGTATATTACTAAATTTTTTGAAGGAATGAACCAATACTCTATATACCAAAATTACATACTATATGCTATTTTAGTATATAATATTTAATTCAATAGTGTATAATTTATTGGGTTGAGCTAGCATAATTATTTTTGTATTGTATACCAAAATTATATACTATATACTATTTTGGTATACAGTTCATTCCAACGATATGTTGTTACAGTATATTATATAATGTAACAGTATACTATTGCAATTTGGGTCTTTTAGAATATTTTAAAATTTTCATTGAGTTCTTTTTTAACTTTTCAGCAGAGTTCTAATGCCTTTTCAATTTTTTCTTAAAACAAAATATTTAGTTTAAAATATATGTTTGTAGGTTTGTGGCTAAAATTTGAGTCAATTTGGTGGAGATTTTTGAGTAGATTTTTAAAATTTGGGTTGAAATTGAGTTGTATGCAACTATTTTTTTTTTGAAAGAATGAATCAATCCTCTATATACAAAAATAACATACTATATACTATTTTGGTATATAATATTTAATTCACTAGTGTATAATTTATTGCATTGAACTGTCGAAGAAGAATTTGTACTGTATACCAAAATGATATATAGTCCAAAATGATATAGTATATATCATTTTGGTATACAATTTATTTCAACGATATATTGTTACAGTATACTATATAATGTAATAGTATACTATTATAATTTGGTCATTTTAGAATTTTTTAAAATTTTCATTGAGTTTTTTCAACGAAGTTTTCATGAAAAATAAATAAAAAAAATTAAGAAGGAGCCAAAATTGAGTGTGAAATTGAATTATGGTAATAATAATAGTGTGACTTGGGTAAAAAAATAAATGAACCAAAAAGCAGAAAAAAGAAAAAATTAAGAAGAAAATGAAAAAAAAAAAGAAAAGGAGAAAAGAAAGGAAAGAAGGAAAAAAAGAAAAAAAGCAGAGAAATAAAAAAGAAAAGGAGAAAAAAGAGAAAATTACCCACAAAAGCTGCCGTGGGTAGGAAAGATAATTAGTTTGATAGGTATAAAAGTAAATGGATAGGCAAAGGTAAATAGTTTTATTTTTATGGATAGTTGTATTATTCACCCCTAATTAAATACATTGTAAATAGTATCTTGTCAAGGAAAAAAGAAAACTCACAAATTCCTGGATAAGATACACAACTCTCAATACGAAACCCTAAAAAAGGTAACAAAAAGTAACAAGCACATCACAAGTAGGTTTACCTTGTTACTAAAAGAGGACCACTTCGGTAAAAAAAGCCAAAAAATGAAAGCAGTGTCAAAAAAAGAGATACATCCTAACATATATAAGTCTCTAATAAGAAATAGTTATTTTAGTATTTTCCATGTCCTTGTTCATCATATTATATCCATTGAGGTCAACGAATCTAATTTGATTTCCCCCGGATAAGTAATAAGACACTTCCAAAGAGGAAAGGTAAATGTCAATTACTTTTGCCACTAGAAATAGTTCTAAATAAGACAGGTTTACCCTCTATAAAAAGTTGGCATCATTTGTGCCCATGTCATGACCTAAAGGGGTCATTTCTACCATCCTTCAGTAACGGATGTAATTTTCAATTTTTTTATTTCAAAAAATATTTTTCTCTTTTTTTAAAATCCATCTCGTATACCCTTCCCCTTTTTTCTTCTAGACAAAGGGTCAGAAACTGCCCCTGAACTATACGAAATGGGATAATTATAACCCATCTCCAGCCGTTTATTTTAATTTTTTTTTATTCCCTTCATTTTCTTTCTCT